AGCCGCTCGAGAGCGGAGCCCGCGTGCGACGAGGACTCTCCGACGGAGCTCGAGGACGTCGTGCTGAGTGCCCTCGCAGACTCCTCGATGGACCTCGAGCGCGTCGTAGCGGGCCTGAACCCCGAGGTCCTCCGCCGCCTGCAGGCGGCTTTCCCTCGCCGCTCGGGGGCCTCTCCGCCCGCCGCTCGGGCCTCGGCTCGCAGTCGCTCTCGGGGCCGCGGCGCGCGTCTAGGCTCCGAGACTCCGCGGCCCGTGCCCCCGCCGCCGCCGCCGCCCCCTCACCACTCTGGTGGGCGTGCGGCGTCGCGATCCCGCGCGTCGACCGCAGGCCAGGGGCTTAGTCGGGCCGTCGCGCGCGGCTCCTCTCGCGCGCCTTCGCGTCAGGCGACGTCGCCTCGGCGTCGCGAGGTGCGCTCCCCTCGAGTCGCTCCGAAGCGGCGCCCGAGCCCCGCTACTGCGCAGCGGCCAGCCACGTCCCGCCATGATGCGAGCTCGGGCGACGCCCACGCAGGCAGCTCCCGCGCGGACTCCGCTGCTCAGGCCCCTCCGTCTTCGGTAGGCACGCGCTCCTCCAGCGATGCTGTTGCGGCCCCGCAGGGCGGCTGAGGTCTTTCGCACCCGCAGGGGCCGCCGAGCCCGAAGGCAGAGATGACCTGCACTGCCTCCTGCAGGCCTTGCACGCCTATAAGCGCCTGTTTCAGACAGGCGGCGCCGAGCCGATCGACGAAGCCTCGTGGTTGCATCCTTACGTGGCCGCCGTCGAGCCCGAGGCTATCCCCGCGGGCGCTGACCTCCAAGCCATGGGGGCGGGCGCCATCCGTGGCATCGGGCTCGGCTCAAAGATCGAGCACAGGAGGCGCGCGGGCAAGTTGGCCTGCCTTTTCGACCTTCTGTACCACGTGCAGGACGGTCACGGCGCCATCCCAGCAGCGCTGTGGGGATCTCATTCCCCTCCGTCCGAGATCCTCGACGCGTTCGCGGAGGTGGTGCCCGTTCCACATCATTCGGGCCTCACGTCCTCGGCAGCTCGTTCCGAGCTCGCCGAATCGGCCGCAGCTGCGCGCGCCGAGCCGCGCCCGCCCTTTGACTGGGCGACCCTCGAGGGAGGGGGCGCTCTGCCCGCCGACATCGAAGCAGGGGCTCGCCGTGCTCACCGTAACATGGGCGGATCCTTCACCTCGGCGCGGGCGATGCTGGCGGAGGCGTCGGGGTTCGAGACCGACGGGCGGGACACCCTCGTTCCGCCCTTCTACGCGTCCAGGAGCAGGAGGGCCGCCACGCTGATCAGCTCTCCCAGCCCTGGCCGCCCTGCGCTCATCCTGTGGTGCGTCTGCGGCCTCTGCATCTCTCTGGGAGCCGCGGCGCCGACCGCAGGCCAAGGGCTTAGTCGGGCTGCGCCTTCCGCGCCCGCTCGCCCTCCGCGCACTCCCTTCGTGCGCGATTCTCACCTCACCTCCGCGTATCTCGATCGTCGCTCGAGATCGATTGATGCGTTCGAACTGTGGTTAGCAGAACACACTGGCGTGCCGCCCGCCACTCTTTACCGTAGCGGGCTACTTCTCGCCCGCTTCCTCGCGACCTTCGGCGTGTGGCTTCATGATGCAGGTTTCCCTCATTATATTCTGGTTCATGCCATCTTGGGAATCCAGAGCGCTCATCCGCATTGGAAGGCCTTTCTAACAGAAGCTTGGGACGTAGCGAGACAATGGAAGCTCGCGGAGCCGCCAAAGCTCCGCCCGCCCTTACCTCGCGCTCTGCTGCGCGCTATGGTCGGTCTCTGTTTCGCCTGGGACTGGCCTGTGATGGCGGCCTTGCTGCTCATGGGCTTTACGATGTTCCTCAGGCCTGGCGAGCTGCTGGCGTCACGCCGCTGTGACTTGTCGCTTCCTTGCGACCGCCTCGAAGTTGAAGGGGATGCTTTTCTTTCGATTCTTGTTCCAAAGACCAGGAGAACGTACCCGACGCAGCATGCTCGCTGCTCCGATCGGGGCACGGTGAAGATTCTGAATCAAGTGTTTGGGCGGTTGGCTTCCACCGATCCTCTCGCCCCTTTCGGTGCGAGCGGCTTCCGTACTCGGTGGAATCATTTGCTTTCGGCCCTGGGCGTCCCTCTTGCCAAAGCGGGTCAGGGGCTCAACCTGACGCCCGCATGTCTGCGGGGCTCTGGCGCAACAGACTTCTATATCGCTACGGAAGACGTCCCTCGCGTCTTCTGGCGGGGGCGTTGGCGTCAGGCTTCCAGTGCTGAGCGCTACCTGCAAGCCGCCGCCGCTTCCACAGTTCTTGCTGCGCTGCCCGAGCCCGCACGGGCGCGGATCCTGTTCTTCGCCACCGCCAGCGACCGCCTTGTCGCTTCATTTCTCCAAGTCGGCCCCGCCGCTTGGCCTGCCCTACTTGCGGCCGCCCGCCGAAACCTTGTCACTTCGCAAGGTCCTTGAGCACGGGTATGGCTGCCTCGCCGTCGTCGGCGAGCAGGCGGTCTCCCCCGCCTGACGCGCGGCGCCCCGGCACGAGCGCGCGGGACGGGCCTGCCCATTTTGGGCCGCCCCGCGCGCGCGAGCCGCGGCCGCGCTCGGAGACAGCTCGCTAGCGCGCGAGCGGGAGAATGCCTCTTCTATTCTCTGTGAGCAAGCTCCTGCTGTCTCCGCAGCTTCTCTGCCCCCCTCCCTCCTCTCCCAATCTAAGGCTGATGGGCGCTGCCTCGCCGTCGTCGGCGAGCAGGCGGTCTCCCCCGCCTGACGCGCGGCGCCCCGGCACGAGCGCGCGGGACGGGCCTGCCCATTTTGGGCCGCCCCGCGCGCGCGAGCCGCGGCCGCGCTCGGAGACAGCTCGCTAGCGCGCGAGCGGGAGAATCATCATCATCATCATCATCATCATCATCATCATCATCATCATCATCATTATCATCATCATCATCATCACGATCACCATCGCCGCCGCCATCACGACCAACGTCATCGCCACATTCGCATCAATATCACCACTATCATCACCATCACCATCACCACCATCATCATCGTCGTCATCGTTGTTGTCTTCATCATCATCGTCATCACCACCTCCATCACCACCGTCATCATCGTGAACAATATCCGGATCATCGTCATCATCACAAGTATCATCGTCATCATCACCACGACCATTATCCTAACCACCAACGCCGACGTCATCACCATCATCCTCCCTGTTCCCCCTCTCGCTCGCGCACCTGTCCCCCCTGTTGCATCCACTGACGTCCCTCTTTTGGCTGACGACCAATTGGAGTCTGACGCCCAAGGCCCTAGACCGCAGAAAACAAAAAAACATGGATGCCCATTCCAAGCTCGAATATGATTTGCTGTGTGGGTGGGGTGGTAAGGGAAGAGTTGAACCTCCCTCCTCACCCTCCTTCCCCCTCCCTCCTCCATGCTCTCAGCGCTTGTACCTTCCTGCCCTGTGTCCACTTGCCCTTCTCCCCCTCCCCCCCCCTCAGACGTCCAGGGGTCTGCCGTGGTCCGCAGAGCTCTTCTGGGGTCTCCAGACCTCCCTCCGGAGGTCCCCAGATGCCTCCTTGCGGCCCTCTGGAGGCCGAAGTCGGGCCAAAACGCCGAAACGTCCGAACCCCCCGTTGCAACGGCGATGTGGTGCGATCTTCCGACCCCATCCCGAGACGGCTGGCGAACGGTGCGGCCTGCAACGGTGTGGTGCGATGCGACGCTGCAAGCGATCCTGGCCTGTGAATCTTCCTGCGCTCTTTCAGAATGAATGGCTCTGTGCATCTGTTGCTCGCATCGGAAGTGGACTGTCGCAGAAGCCATAGTCCGGTCCAGACCATTACGGCAGGTGTCTCGGCGTGCCGGCGCGGCGGCGACCCCGCCGCGGGCGTTCGAGGTTTCTAGCAGTGGCGAAGCGTCCTGGCTCGCCTGTAGCCCTACCAAACAATGTTCTAAGAACCTTTTGTGGTTTCCACGAAATGTTCTTAGAACAGTTCTGGTTGATATTGGCTTGCTTTAGCACATCGGGCTTATGTTCTAAGAACATTGTTTTCGTTCTTAGAACATTTTTGGGTTCTAAGAACATTTCGTGGTATGGCTAGGAATGCCGGAACGGTCGGTCCCTGCTCAAAGGTTGCAAATTGCCAGAGGCCCAGAGTCGGCCAACATGGGGCGATCGGGGCAGTCGAAAAGCCACCGATGTTTGAAGGTCGAACGATCCACGCGGTCTTAGAAGCCAAAGCCAGGGTCGTCATTACACGAACCTGCCGTAATCCAGTTTTCAGGGGCATTTTTTTGGGGGTGGGCTCAGGGGGTGATGCATCGACCACCAATCGCCCATCCATCTCCGATAGCCCATCCCGCCCAGTACCGTCGGGGTTCGTAGTCGGGAGCCTGTTGCCGATCTATCGGCAATGCATCGCAGATTCCAGCTCGATGTTTCCACCCCTGAACGTGTCCAGCTGATGGACAGAATCCAGTTTTTATGCAGATTTGTCAGAACACCACCCGCGCCCCCAGTTTGACATTGGCGGGCTGCACTGCGATACGTCGACTTGCCGAAATCCTGCCTCCTGCTGGCGATGCTAATCAACATTGAATCGGGGGCGGGGGGGTCCGTTGAAGTTTGCACCCGCACCCCCGTCGTGCGGGTTGGGCAGGATCTTGTCCATCACCCGTCCCCCCTGTGTCGGCCGCGAGCCCAGGGGCGGAAGCGAGACGGGGAGACAGGCCCTCTCAGAAGGCGGCGGGTATTTCTTCTTCGAAGCTCTCGGGCCTCGTGGTACGCCTTCGACGCCTTCTTTCCGACGACAGGGGGGTCTTCTCAGAAGGCCAGGGGGCTTCTGAGAAGCCCCGCCGCCTTCTGAGAAGGCCTGCCCCCTCTCACTTCCCCGCCTGGCGCGTCGCCGCCCTGTCAGACCCCCCCATCCACATCGTGAGCCAGCCGAGCCGTCTGCGCGGGCCTGTGCCCCTGTTTGGGAGGCCTCCGGCTTCCCGCCACCGCCCCGGCCTCCGCGCATCCCCCAGATCGCGGCCGCGCGCACGCCGGTGGCCTACCCCATCTTCACCTTCCGCTGGCTCGCGGTCGGCTTGACGGGGAGGAGGGAGAGGGGGAGGGGGGAACGGAGGAGGAGGCGGAGGAGGAGGATGAGGAGGGGGAGGAGGAGGGGGAAGATGAGGAGGAGGAGGAGGAGGAGAAGGAGGCGCAGGAGGAGAAGGAGGAGGAGGCGGAGGACTTCAGGCTCGTGGACTACAGCGGGTCTGACGTGCGTCTTGACACAGGCGCGTGCTTGGAATCCCGGCAGGACGTCCCTTGCCCTGCATTTTGCTGCCGGTGGTCGTGCACCATGGCATGCGCATGGCGCACTACGTGCTACGCAACAATCAACGCTCTCGAATTCACCAGCGCTTTCGATGATTTCCGCAAGAAAATGCGGCGGGTACGGGCATTTACATATATAGTGGACGGCCGTGTCAAGGGCGCTCCTTTAGACAGCGTCTCAATCACCTTGATCGGCGGCTAACTGCTTACCTTTTTGCGGCAGATGGCTGCGTGCTCCCCTTGTGGTCGATTTCTCGGTGGGTGGCGGCGGACCGTGGGCGCCGCTTGTATGCTGAATCTGAGGGGGGCGACTCGCGAAAAAGAAGTCGAGTGGTTGAGACCGCCGCGTGGGATCCACCTCAAGTTCGTTGGCATAGGCTGCAAGACGTTAGTCAGATACCGTACGGTAGGTTCGCGTCGTGTCGACCGGCGGCGACCTCGACGCCGGCGTTCAACGTTGAACGCCGGCGGAGGCCCAGAATCGGTCGATGTTAAACGATCGGACGTTACGGAAATGGCCGATCGTTCAAGGTTGAACGATCCTCGCGGCGTCAGGGACCAACGCCCAGGTCGACACGGCACGAACCTGCCGTACTCAAGTTCACGATACTATCCCATTGTCTGGAAATGCTCCACAAGCCCTGCCCGAAGTCTGTCGAAGAGCTTGATTTGGAGTTCAGCGAATGCATCAACCACCTATTGTTGGATGGGGACTGTCATGGGTGCGCGGGGGTTCTCGTCTCAGGCCTGCGCCGTTTTGTACCCAGGCTTCGAGGCAGACTCGCAACCTCCAGGCAGTATTCATGTAATTGGGAGCGTAAGTTGGTAAGAAAGAGGGCGTTCCCTTCCGAGAGGTTTTGTGATCGCCCTCGCTGGTGTGGCATATGCCTACCAGCGTCCTCGTCCCAGTGACATCCTGCTCGCCAGTATGCATGTTATGTTACATTAGCTTATGTTATGTTATGGTATTGTATATTATGGTATGTTATGATCTATTATGGTATGCTATTTTATGTTATGGTATGTTCTGTATGTATGCATGCATGCATGTATGCATGTATGTATGTGTGTAAATGTGTTCGTGCGTATGTGTGTATGTATGTATGTGTGTCTCTATGAATGTATGTATGCATGCATGCATGTCTGTCTGTCTGTCTGTCTGTCTGCCTGTCTGTCTGTATGTATGTATGTATGTATGCATGTATGTATGCATGCATGCATGCATGCAAGCATGCATGTATGTATGTATGTATGTATGTTTGGATGTATGTACGTACGTACGTATGTATGTATGTCTATATGTATGTATACATGTATGTATATTTGCATGCATGTATGTATGTATGTATGTATGTAGGTAGGTAGGTAGGTATGTATGTATGTATGTATGTATGTATGTGTGTATGTATGCATGTATGCATGTATGTATGTTTGTATGTATGTGCGTATAGATGCCTTCGGCCCATCCCGTCAATGTGCTTAATTATGAGGGCTTCTTGGATGCATAACTATGAGGGTCTCTTGGGATGCCTCTCGGGGGACTCTTTGAGGGGTCTTGGGGGGCATCTTGGAGGCCTCTTGAGCCGTTCTGGGGCCCTCTCGGGGCGTCTTGGGGCCCTCTTCGGGGCCTCCTGCGCAGTCCTTGGGCGCGATTGGGAGCTTCTCGGGCCGCCTTGGAGCGCTAACAAAATGGAGAAGCCGATGAGGCTAAAACCATTTTCGAACCTTCGGGGGATCAGTGATTTTGGCGTCTTGGGGGTGCAATTCGGGCCCATTTGGAGCTTCTTGGGGGCCTCGATCGTTGTCTTCAGGCCATCTTGAGGTTCTGGGGGCGGTCTTGATGCGACTCGATGCTCTCTTGAGCCGTCTTCGCAGCCTCCTCGGTCCCTCCGGGCCAGTCTTGGGACCCTCCTGGCTTCCAGAAGACGCACGCGACACACCCCAAGAGCTCCTGGGAGCTCCCCAGAATTTTCGGGAATGCCCAAGAAACAAGTTGTCCAGGCCCTTACGAATCTAGAACCCTGGCTGCAGCAGCAGCGCAGCTTTGAGCCTGGGACACTCCACTTCGTGTCAAGGGCACGGTGGCGGATATCTGTGTGTGTGTGTGTGTGGTCATGCTGGGCCTGTGTGCCTCTGAAGGATCAGATGAATTGCCACCGCCACTGCCCTCCCTCTCGCTGCCTGGCTCATGGCAGCCGCGGGGCCGTGTACCATTGGACGTTCAGTATTGCGCGAGTGTGGCGTAGAGAGTCCGTCGCAGCGAGATCGAGAGTGGATGGGAGGGGAGGGCTGAAGAGAACAGGGGAGGATAATGCAGGAACGACGTCAGCAGAAGGCATCCGTACACCACCGCCGTGCCCCGTCAGGAACATCCTGGGCCCAAGGATGGTGTGTAGACCCTCGAGGCCTCGGCCAGGAGGGCGCGTGCATCATGCCAGGGCCCAAGATAGCCCTGGCCAGGCATGGTGGCGGTGTACAGGTACCTTCTGCGTATTGGGGTGGGGGAGCGGCAGGGACGAATCTGGCAGGTCCACATGCTCGCGGTGCCCACCGTCTTCTTCCTTGGCGCGATCAGCTCGATGCAGCGCGCCTCCTAGCGAGCCTCCCAGCCCTTCCCCTCGCGTCGCCAACATCTTGTTCCCTGCCCCGGATGGAGAGTGATGCAAGAGGAGGAGGAGGAAAAGGAGCAGGAAAAGGAGGAGGAAGAGGAGGAGAAGGGATGAGGGAGGAGGAGGAGGGTGGAGGAGGAGGATGGCCAGTGCAACCCCCAGAGTCATCAATGGTGTTGTAATGAACAGGCCCCTGCAAGGGTGCATTTTACTGGCAAGTGCCCCGTCGGAAGGCATCCGTTTGAAAATCTGGAACTGTGCCAGAACACCACTCCTGGGACTTCACCGCCTTACAGCATTCTGAATCGTGCCAGAACATCATACCTTGGACTTCAACACCGCGAATCAATGTATCTGTTGCGCCATGGCATTCCGACATCGTGCCGGAGCACCGTTTTTGGTACGTCAGTTAGGGCAATATTTGAAATTGTTGACAACCGTTAAGACGAATGTGCGCGGCGCGAAGGCGAGAGCCACATTCTGAAATGGAGCAGCCCTGCATCCGTAAACCGTCTTGCAACTTTTTTTTCAGGGTCGGGCGAGAACCCGGGTTATCGGGCTTGCCCCCCCCAGGATAACCTAACCTTGCCGGTTGTGCAGGTCCGGGGTGGTGGGGCGCGGGCATATGCAGGGCTGCCCACAGCGCGAAGGTTAGGTTCTCGGCCGACCCCCTCCTCCCCCCCCCAGATAACCCGGGTTATCGCCGATTCGAAAAAAAACGGTCTCCAGAAGGCGGGGGGCTTCAGGTCCCAGGCTTCGGTCGGCGGCGAGCGAGGGGGGGGAGTGAGAAGGAGGAGGCCTTCTCAGGAGGCGGCGGGATTTCGCAGGGGCCCCATCGCGCCTTCTGAGAAGTTTTCCGTGGCCTCGGGGAGGGCCCGGCAAGCTTCTCGGAGGGCCGGGGGGGGGGCGGCCTTCCCAGGGGGCGGAGGGGCTTCTCGGAAGCCCTCGCTCCCTCCGAGGAGTTGGCCGTGTCTGTGTGGCTTCCAATTAGAGCTGTGCGTAGCCCGCCTAGCTTTTAACCAGAAGAGGTTCGCTCTCGCCCCGCAGACCAAAAACTGTGTCTGTGGCTTCGGGGAAGCTCAGGAGACTCCCCAGAAGGCCGGGGGGCTTCCGAGCCTTCCCAAAGGGCCTTCTCCTTCTCACCTGCCCCCAGGGGCCCGCCGCCGATTCGAGTAGGAGGTCGATGGAAGAATCGACGCACCCCAAAATTGATCTGTTCGTCGAGTCTCCAGGCAAGTGCACATAGCACTTGCAGAGCTACGAACGGGCATTCTGCGCAGTGCTGGCAGGCTCGACGAGCATGGCAATCCTGGGGCGCATCGATTCTGCCGTGGACCCCCCACTCGCAGCCTGATAGGGTGCCTCAGAAGGATGGGGCAGGGCTGCAAGTCCTGGCTCTTGGCATCGCTCGGACGTGTGCATTTTTCCTTCGGCGAGGACCATCGAGGAGCATCCTTGATCATTCGGCGAAAAAAACACGCACGAAACCGAAAAGAACACAGGGAATGGACGTCCGAGCGATGGCGAGAGGATGGGGCAGGCTGCAAGTCCTGGCTGGAGATGTCGGGGTGGCCCGTCCGTCGCCGTCTGCGGCCCCTGCTCGGGACGGCGCGCAGGCCCGGGGAAGCGGTCGGGAGGCCCGCGGGGCCACGCCCCGGCCGGCACCGAGCACATCGAGGCGTCGGGGCGTCGGGGATCGGCCACGCACAGAGGGGGGCAGAGGGGAGGGGAGGAGGCTTCTTGGAAGCACCCCTGCTTCTTAGAGAAGGCGCGGGCACTGTGCGCAGATGCAAGGCCGGCGCCTTCTAAGAAACGGCCTCCTCCTAAGAAGCCTTCCCGCCTCCACCTGCCCCCCTCGTGTGCGCGCCGCCAAAGAAATCAGGGAGCCAAGCGTCGACCGCCGTGGCGCCCGCAGGACCGCCCGCGCCTCACGCGCGGGCCAGAAGAGGAGGAGGGGGAGGAGGAGGAGGATGAGGAGGAGGAGGAGGAGGAGGAGGAGGAGAGTAAATAGTCCAAGAGTTCCAATGGCTCGTCTCGATTCCTTCGATTCTATCCGATTTCGATTTCGATGGCTTCCAATTCCAATTCCACTCGACTTGGGATGCCGATGTGGGCTCCGATTTCTGTTTGGAGGCGTAATAGCCTGCCGATTTCTGCCGATTCGACTCCTTCCGACTCGGCTGCCGACTTCCGCTGGTCCGGTTCGTTTCGATTGCAGGTCCGATTTACCGATTCGATCTTGGGCTCTCCTGTCAGAGGAGCAATGCGGCGCGATACTCATGCGCCCCAGGAGTTCCAAGATCTTTTCTGTTGTCGCGCGCGGCCTCCGGGGACGAGGGCCGCCAGCTGCTCCAGAATTCCCCGAGCGCGCCCCCTGAGCCCACCGCAGCGTGCCATGCTTCTCGCCCCAGTGGGGGGCAGCAGGCGGGGGCGGCGGCCTTTGGGCCTGGGGCGCACTCGTTTTAAATATTCAAAGTTGACCGTAAGTCTTGCAACCTTGCCAAAATCGTGGGAAATAATGCAGCGCACTCCTGCCACGTTCTTTCGTCTATCGCTGCACGCAAACTTGTGCCTTATACGAACTTCGCCCAACCTTTGGCAAACATCCTCGGATAGTTCAATCTGGGGCCGGCAGGATCGGGACGGGGGCGGAGAGAACGGGGACAAAGACCGACCGCAGCCCCTGGCCACTTTGGAACACTGGGTCGCCCCAGGGGTGCGGAGGCAACCGCGCGTCTCGCGCATCGCGGAGCATCTTTCGACTAGACGTAAGAGTGACCATTCGCCGGAGTGACCTTTGGTGCGGGCACAGATGGGCCCCCAGATGGCCGCACGCGAGGCGGTAGCAGCGGCTAGCGCGCCTGGATTTGGCCTCCCCGCGGCCCCCCCAAAGCCGCGCACCAAAGTAGGGGGCCACATGCGACCCCTACCCCCCCCCCCCCGCGATTTCTGAGGGGGAGGGTGGGGTTCACTTCGCTCGGGAGCTCCTGAACGAAGTGAGCCCCACCCTCCCCCTCAGAAATCGTGGGGCAAAGGTCATTCTTACCGAGGGTCACTCTTACGTGCAGCCGACATCCTGGAAGGGGCGCCCTTCGCCGGGGCGGCGGCGCGAGGGCGCGGAGGCGGCTGCGCGTCGCGCACGGCGCGGCGCGGTGCGCAGAGCGGGGCGGCCTGGGCGCGGGGCTCGGCGCCGGTGCCGCGACGGGCTCCGTCCCCTCGCCAGAGGGGGCCGCCCGCCCAGCGGCGGCCTCCCCGTCGGTCCTGGGCAGCCTCCCCAGACCTCCTCGAGTCATGAAAAAATCACGACGGGAGGTTTTTCGCTATTTTCGGCCTCTCAGGGCCCTTACCGGGCCTCGGGACCGTCAAAAAACGACTCGGGATGAAAAACCGGTCCCGGGGAATGGGTCTGGACCTCTGGGGGTCGCGTCATGAAAAAATCATGACGTCGGGGGTCTGGGTCTCCTGGGGCCAGACGCCGCCTCGTCCTCGTTGTGCTGTCCGTCCCCACTTTTCGGGCTTGCCGGGCGGGGGTGGAGGGGGCCGGGTGGAGAGAGAGAGCTGTGCACAGGCACCGACCATTGGCCGGGCCCGTCCTGAGCCTCGGGTCGTGGCGCCTGGCCAAGCCGGGAGGGCGCATGCGCCGACCCTGGCCCCAGGCTGGGCCGGGCCAGCCTCGGTATGCGTGCGCAGTTCTCGTCCTTTCTCTGGTGGGGGCGGGGCGATGGCGACCGGGCGGCGGCGGCGGCGGCCCCCCTCCGAGGTTCATCCAGCGCTGAGCGCCGCGGCCGCGCTGCCTGGCTTGAGGGGGGGGGGGGGCTCTCGCGGTGGTTCGGGCGGCGGCGGTCTCCCGCCAGGCTTCTGCCAGGCGCCCTCCCGGCACTCCCCTCCCTCGAGGCTCCCCCGACTTGAATCCAGGGATCTAGCATCGGAACCGCAAGCAGGAGCGTATATGTTTCGTTGCAGCCAGCATGATAAGCAGCAGAGACAGTCAGAGGCATGAGAAGAGTATACTGTCTGGCACCACAGGCTCAATGATAAAAAAGGATCTCGGCTCCCACCCCCGTCACCAAAGGGGACCCCCGGGTCCCTCGCCAGCCACAGGCCACAGACACGGCCTGGCCCCGTGGCGCTGTTGGCTTGGCTTTGGTTTCTCATGGTGGATTGAATCATACATTATGGACGCCAGATCGCAAGGAGAACCACAAGGACGGGCGGCCTGGCACGGGGAGGGGAGGGAGAGGGACAGGGGGCGGCGGGGGGCGGTGGGCGGGGGCGGTCGGGGCGGTCGGGCCGGCGGGCGTGGTCGTCGTCGTGAGGGTCGCGGTGGTCGGGCCGGCGGCAGTCGCGGTGGCCTGGCCGGCGGGGGTGATGGTCGATGTGGTGGTCAGGTTGGGCGGGCTGCTGGTGGTCGGGCCCCTTGGTGGTGGTCGCGGTAGTTGGGGTGGTGGCCGTGCTGGTAGTTGTCGAGCGTAAATCTTGGCGGTGGTCATGCTGGTGATGTTGTTGCTGGTCGTGGTGGTCGTGTGGTGGCCGCACGAGTTGTAGTTGCCGAGGTGGTTGCCGCGGTCGCTGGTGGCGGTCGTGGTCGTCAATGCAGCCGTGGTGGGCCACAGCCACTGTTGGTGGCCGCGGTGCTGGGCATAGCGCCAGTGCAAGCCCCTGGCCTAGCACCCGAGTGCACTGAGCCACATTTCGGCGTTGCAGGTCTGCAGGCGCCTGCTGGTTTGCCTCCGCAACGTCCCGAGGACCTCGGCCCGGTCAGCGTCGTCGCGCCCGTGGCCGCACGACCCGACGAGCTCGATGGCCGTGTCGGACGGGCGGTTTCCCGACTCGAGCACCAAGGGCGCCAAGTTCCCCTACTGCGGAGGGCAGCGGTCGCGCTCGTCGTGGACCATCCGCGCCGCCGCGACCCTGTCGTTGTTGGATCGAGCTTGCCTGTGAGGGCCGTGGGTGCTTAGGCTCCTATCCACGTGCGCAGGCTGGCCCGGGCTCGGGTCTCGTGTGCAAGCGTCCTCTATCCTCTCATGTTTCTCCCCTTCCCCATCCTCGCCTCTGCCCGTCCCCATCCTCTCCCCTCTCCCCTCCTGTCCCTCTCCTCCCCGCCCTGCTTCCGCCATTCCCCCCCTTCCCAGCGACGGGGGCGGCGTGTAGGGGCGAAAAGGGGGAAGAGGGAAAGAGGGAGTGGCCGTCAGGGAGATAAGGGGGAGAAGGGAAGGGGGAAGGACTGCCCCCTTGTCTCTTTACCTTCCCCCC